GGGACTGGAAGGGGGCAGAGAATGGGATATAAAGTGAATAAATAATAAATAAGTGAATGAAAAAAACATCATCAATAGATGTTTACACATTAGAAACCATGGATCACAGACAGGTTCCTAGTTGTTGTTTTTGCAATGCTGGAGATAAAACCCAGCTTTTCAAGTAAGTTGGGCAAGTGTTCTACACTGAGCTGTATCCTACACCCCCCCAAGGCCTCTGGTGTATTTCTAGGGGCAACTAAATCACACCTGAGCACTAGTCGGATCATGACTGTCATTGAGAGTAATGAAATTACACCCACGGGAAGCAAACAGTTTTTATAGTGTCCCTGTTCACTCAAAATACTATTTGTGGTTTAGGGTTTCTTTAAGGTAATTTCTAGTATATGGCTGTTTAACACCCCTAATGTAAGTATATAGTTTTTCACACTTTAAAGATACATACGGGTGTGTAAAAGAAACAAGCAGCAATGGAGCAGGCTGTCACTGCAGCGCTGGCCGATGGCACTTCTAACACCTAGGTTCTCCTAGACAGGAGTTTCTCCATCTCACAGCTCCCACTCCTTCAGTTCCCTGAAGCTTTCTCTGGATCTCCATCTAAGCCAGCACACAATGCCAACTCTCCCCCCAGGCAGTGTCTTCAATGTGGCTGTATGATTTGCCAAACTGAGTGTGTTTGGCATTAGGCAGCAAATGCCCTGCTTATCTCCACTAATGTAAACAGACTTGACAGTCGTCTATCACTCAGCAGCTTCAAGCTGTGGCCTTCATCTTCACAAGACTGGCTTCACTAGGGAAGACTGCGTACATGAGTCAGCTTGTTTAACTGACCAGGCAATGGAAAGCCACCTTTATTCAGGTGACCTGATAACTAGCCTTGAAGCTTTCTGATTACCAACTTAAAAGGGAAAATGAAGTATAGACTCTTTATAAAGAGGACTGTGAAATTTTTTCTATTTGTCCTATTTTTTCTATTTGTTCTATTTTTAACTCGTTGAAGACGGTCCTTGAGAAGTATTTTTATATATTTTGGATGCCCTTTATTATTTACTTTTTTATAAAAATACAACCAACTCATACGTTCTACCTGTTCTGTTTAGTTAAGTTTTGTCTTTGAACTGGGGGAGAAGATCTGACCCGCCACCAGCACTCAGTGCAGTCACAGCACTGAGGACCGGTCAGTCATATTGGCCTCAGATAGTCCAGAACCTGTTTTGCTGGTGAAACCATAAGGCACACTTTGTTCAACAGAATCAATTTATTTCTAGATTTAACTTCCAATTAACTGTGGGTGTTTCTGCTACTGAACTGAAATGCCATATTTTTTTTTTAAAAAAAAAAAAAAACCATTTGAAAGTAATGAAGACAGCTCTGGGTAGTTCTTCCACATAAATAAATAATGACCACTCCTAAGACTTAACAGAAAACAAACGTGTTTTCAGTGAATTGAAATTGTGCTCTGCATGTTTAATGTACTAAGAAGTTATGAAAGTAGCATCTTCTTCTTGCATTATACAACAAATCGGGGTCGGGGGAGTAAAGCGAGTAGGAGTTTTATTCCCAATCACACTTGCCCTACAGGCTCTGGTCAGATTCGTGTGGAGTTCCCGAGCAGAAGGTACCCCAGGATTACCTTTCTAGCAGTTAGCCCGCTATAGCAAGTCCAGTTCTATTTGTCATGCGTAACAAGCTGAAAATGAATCTAAACGAAGTCAAGGAAGCTTCTGGATGTTGCTTCTTTTTGAGACAAGTCTTACAATGTACCCAGGATGGTCTGGAACCTACAATCCTGCCTTAGCCTCCTGAGAGCGGTGCAGCACTGCATGGGTCCCAGGTTGGCTTTTTTTGTTTGTTTGTTTGTTTGTTTGTTTTCTATGTTCCCAAAAACATGCAAACCCTTTTACAACTCAGATTTTACTGGCACATTATATCCTGAGGTAACACTAGTTTTCATTTGTCATCCTTCATGAGATGTAATACTGACTAAACCCAGAGGGCCTTTTCCAATTCAAGTTTAGAACTGCTGTGAGGGCGGTTCCTTAGCATCTTCTTTTCTGTTTTGGTTAGACTATGTATGGGAACACTTTTATTCATCTCTTAATTTAGTGCAGAGCATAAACATAGATTCTGGAAATATGCCCAATTCCGTTTTGAGAAAATGCTGAAAAGGGTCTTGTGGCATCCTTCTCGCAAAGACCATGAAAAAAAAAAAAAAAAGTGGAGATCTATTTTATAATCTGTGAAAAATAAGCACTGCATCTACCTCAAATATGTCAGAAAATCCACCAGAATCCAGCAGTAGTGCTCAAGAATACTAACCACTACTGTGTTGTGTGTGTGTGTGTGTGTGTGAACAATGGACAGGAGAAGGGACAGGCAGCACGCCCATGACGACTGCTCACTGCCCCATCCTCGAGGTGAAATGCAGAAATGAAGGATGCCTGCAGAATGGACATTTGGGTGGCTTATGGGAGGGGAGAAAGAGAGCAAGTAATCAAGGAAAATAGAACAGAAAGAGAAGAAGCATAATTCTCAAATGTTAAAGGAGACTAAGCCTGTATCTTCCCATTCTCTCCTTCACACTGTTAACACAAAAGTATAAAAACAGACGTAAAGAAAAGTGGCCTGCTCTGTATTTCACCTCCATGCTCCTACCCTTTCAAGGCCCTAAATCAATATTTGAACTACAATCTCCAATAAAGCCCCTCTGTATTTGCTGTCAGTCTCAATCACCTTCTGCTTGTCTACAGAGCACCTCTAACGCTTAGATGTTGCACCTGGAGATTCTTGCTTACTTTATGATGTGGATTTATATGCCCTTTCAATGAAAGCAACCCGCCCTAGATAATCCAGTGAGAAAAATGTTACAAGGTCCACTTTCCGTTAAAAGACAAATACAAATATTAGGCTATTCTCTAAAATGAGGAAAAACACATAAAATTCAGTGTAATCTACTACTTCATTTCCTTTATCCTAGATAAAGCCCCACAGCATAAAGTGTCTTTTGTGTCTTTCTTCAGACAAGAAAGAGGATGCAGGAGGCTGCAGTTCTCACTGACTCTTCGCCAACACCCCTTCTCTGATTTGTCTCAATCTAAAGATTTTATCATAGAGCATGTTAATTATTCAATTTTAAACCAAAATTTTATTTATTGTTGGAAGAACTTCATAAAAGAAACTGAATATTGAAAGAACAGGAGCCTTATTTTTAAAGTGTTCACTATTTTTTATGTAGTGAGTTTATGAATGACAGGAGAAAGGCCAACGTAAGCCATCATCAGTAGGGACAGAGAGCACACCTGTGATCACAGAAAAGGTGTGAGACAAAGCAGCGGGAGGACTGCCACAAGTGTGAGGCTAGCCTGATTGTACATCCAGGCCAGCCTGGGCTACACAGTGAGACTATGACAGAAGAGTCAATATTAGATACCTTTGCGGTTTAGCAACCTGACAACTGATCAAGAAAGAAAGCAGCTATTCCTATACGGCATCTGAACAGTAAACCCTGAGGCTGTTCCAATGTACATATGTGTACATTCTTTGTGAACAGCATCCAGAATTTCATGCACTAATAGGTAAAGCTCTCCTATTAGAAGAGTGGTGTGTGGAAAATAGCTATTGTGGACGAAACCACTAATACAAACTTAAGAATTTAAAAAAAACTATGGGGGGCTGGAGAGATGGATCAGGAGTTAGGAGCCCTCCCTGGCTGCTCTTACAGAGTACCTGAGTTTGATTTCTAGCACCCACTTGGCATTTCATAACCATTCACATCTCTAGTTCCACATCTAACACCCCTTTCTAGCCTCTGAGGGCACTGCATGCACACTGCACACAGACATACATATGTATGCACATATGTGCCCACATTATATGGGGCCAAAACACTTATACACACAGAATTAGACCTAAGGAAAAAATTAAAAATTAAATTAAAAATGTAAAGCTTAAAACCTGGCCCTGTCTTCTAAAAAACTGAGACATTTCCATTTCCTGTTACAACTGTTAAGCTATGGAGAAACCGATGGGGAAGAGTGTGTGTGTTGGTGGAGGAAGGCGCCTGCCCACTACTGCATGTGTGTAGAGCAGAAGACAGTTTGTGTGCTCTCCTCCCACTGCTACATGGGCTCTGGGGACCAAACCTGAGCTTTACTCGGGCTGCACTTTACCTGCTGAGTGTCCTGAAATAATTTGCTATGCATAAGCACGTTACCCTAACTTTCAAATAATCAGAAAATACTTTCAGTGGTAAATATTTAAATACATACAATGGAAGAATACCCCTCTGGGATTTGTATCTTCTAACAAAATTCCTTTGGCTATAGAAAAAATCCAAAAGGCAGTTTTGATTTTTGGTTAGATGAAGGACACAGACGAATGAGTTCCATTCTTGACACAGCCAGAGAATAGAAACTAGCAGATGATGTGCCATCTTGTAGCACATTGCGATTCTTCAGATGCAGTTTTCTTTTGAGCAAGCACTGCACACATCAGGGTGTACTACTCTGCCTGTCGCGTTGGAGCTGTGGCTCTGCTTCCCACATGTACTGCACTGTGGTGGTAACTAGTCAGCAAGGCACAAGCAACTCAGCACAATAGACAAAGAGCAGGCTCTCTTTCCATGGCATATGCAACAGCAGCCAGCATGTTTCTAGGTAGGTAACTCAAACTCCAACTTGGTGACACTAACCACATTTTTTAGAATACAGTGCTTAATGGTAGTGTAAACCTATCTGTTCACTGTTCTCAAAAGAGAACGCCTATGTTCACCAATTAAAAAGTCATTGATTTTTGTTGTTGTTTTGAATGGGAAAAGAATTGCCGAAGAAGAAAGCAATGGTATCATTGGAAGAATCCCACTCCTACTTCAGCCCTTCCCCACCAGAGTGAGAAGTGAACAAAGATAGCACCATTATTAATGTTAACTTATATTAAAAATATTTTGTACGCCAACCACTTAATACTACACAGTAGTACTTGAATACAAAGCAGTTCCAGTATTAACTGTTCTTTAAACTGTTAAACTTTATTATAAATTAAAATTTCTTTACAAAAAAAATTGCACATAATATTTGACCACTCTTAGGTTCTGATGCACTGGCATTTGCAATAGTTTCTTTAATCTTCAAGTTAAACAGTCTCAGCAAGGAGTCCAGAACGTAGAAAGGGCAGTCAACAACCCTGCTAGAACATTCAAGTGCAACTAGCAGACTTGTGGCCATGGCAGTTACACTTTCCTTAAGATGGACTGCTTATGTTTAAAACCCTGAAATGAAGAATCTCAGAGACTTAAAGGAGGAACTAAAAGGGACTGCCTGCTTTTTACTGTAAACACAGCCCTGGAAACTAAATCCCAAACAAGAATCTCTCAGGCATCAGAGAGTGTCAAGTGGACCAGGAATAGCACAACATAAAGGTAGGGAAAGTAAAAAATGAAACCAAAAACAAAGTAAAATTAAAATAAACGTCAGTCGCTTTGAGGAGCTATACTTACGTACATGATGTTAGAGAATCTGGCAGGGCCCAGAAGCAGGCCAAACAGGAAGTTCATTTATCCATTCCAAGAGTGTCATTCATGTTCATTGCTTCCGGTTTTACGGATAGGATATTGTAGGAAACTTGATAGGATCAATAATGCTTGTCTGCCTTACACAGACCTTAGCCAGGGATCAGCCTAATCTTGAAGAATCATTCAAATAATTTTGGCAATTATTATAAGGGCTTAGAACTGACTGCACCCAGTGTTCAGAGATTCTTGCTTTCTGTTTTGTTACTGTTTAAATTTAAGAGCTCATTTAGGCTGACTCCAATCTCTTGGCACTTGGAAACTAGTTTTCTCAGGTTATCAGTTTTACCTCCTTCTGATGCTTCAAACAAGAGTTGCTGTAAAAGACAGGGAAGCATAGAAGTAAGAGACAGCTAGGTTTTGAGCATTTACCACATCAATGGATATGGCACATGCAGAAAATTTATAGGAAAACGTCAAGATAAAATAAAAGATAAAAAGCATTACATCTTTCCATAGTGATGCACAAAGAGGTAGCTTCTGTAAGGCTCTCTGATATAAACGGTGGACCTATAAGACAGACAGACAGACACACACTCTCATCAGAAAACATGCTGAACAACACTTTTAAAAGCCTGTCTGCTTCAAGGCAGAGCTTTACAATATACTAGCATTCAAGTCAGGCATGGTTCTCTTGGGCTTTAGAGATTTCAAATAGAGTTCTTGGAAGGTTAACTTCTTTCTATCTTTAATCCTTTTAAAGTGAGAGCCCAACAAAAGGGGCAGAGTAGCTAAAAGGAAAAAGAAGTGGCCCATCTGATAATTCAATTACGAACTGCTTACCTCTCTTTGTCCCTTTAGAGCAATCTCAGCAGCAATGGCTCTAAGGGAAAAAAAGGAATATAGAAAAGGGGGAAAATTTATATATCTTCAAACAAAAGGAAACACCAGCACTGGCAGAATACTGACTGTGGGAATCTGAATACAAAACTTCCTGAAAGGCTAAACTTCCAAGGAGTGTAACCTATAGTGAAAAGAAAAATTCAACAATTTTTATCAACTTTACAGGAATAAAGCAGACCAGTGTTTGAACATGAGTTAAAATTCATGGGATGGAAAAACAAAAAAAACAAACAAAAAAAGCAAACTCAAAACTAGTAAAACAGGCCTGGCACTAACACCTTTAAAATAAGAAACCAGACTGTAACAGGGAAAACCCTATATTTTAAAGATGGTTCTAAAGTGTTATACACACTTACGTTTGATAATATTGATATCTAAATGTTCTCCCTCATTAAAATTATTTTTATTATTATTAATCTCGGAAGCAGCTATTAATGAGCAATTACTCACTCTAGGTATTAAACCACAGCAAGTGCCCAAAACAACTCTATACTAGGTCTGTCTATTTGCGGGGAGATAAGATGCTATTTCAGATTTACCTGTCTGGAGCAACCCTTACAAATAAAAGCATAGCTATAAAAACATGTACATGATTGTTGCATTACATTTTCCAGGTGGCCAGGCATGTTGGGATATTATATGTAAACATCTTGGCTTGGAGTTTCAGAATCTGAACATTGCTTTCTTCCCATTCGTGTTGAAGTAGCCTGTAAAGCACATTCAGGAAAATGAACAAAGCACTCAAAGTGTAGGGCACCCCAAATGCACTCTATAACAGAATGTACAAGGTACAAAGGTTGGCCAGTTAAACCCTAACAAAGACATTCAGCAAATATTTATAGAATGTCTCTTATAACAATTGTCCCAGGATCACAATGTGCTAAACTACTGTTCTACAGTTATCTTCAACGACATAAAAAGCTCATGTATTCCTGCAGAAAACAAAAGCAATCTCATCACATACTCCTCTACCCCAAGTTTTTTTTAAGGTAATGACTCAATACACCAATGCAAGTTTAAAAAACATTTTCTTTCTTAGAACAAGCATATTGAATATTTCTGGGACTAAAATGGAACTATAATGGCTAAGTTTTGAGTTCTTATTTTCCTGGTGGGGAGAGGTAACAGGGAAAACCATAGAAGAATGTACCAATACAAAAAGAATATGGCTTACCCACAATTAAACTACCTATGTTTTAAAATGCTTATCATAAAAGAAACTAGATACAAACAGAAAAACAATACAACCATGCTTTCTACTTCACATGCATATCAAAGATCATTTTCTTTATTCAAATTTCTACCACTAGCTTCTGAGGATTAACACGGTTCTCATGAAATTTAATTATAGAATAATACGGTTAATTTTCTCACAAACTTAAGACTTTGAATGATTTTTCAGACATGTACTATATTTCAGATGTATAATATATTTCATATGCATCATAGCATGGAAAATATTCTTTAAAACAAAAGAGAATACCTAATAAACACATTAGGTATTTTATAAAAACAGCTCTATGGTAAGATGCAATCAAAACAGGGTAAATGACTATGCAGTGTGCAATGCCTGCGCAGTGGATGTCCAAGCATGGACAGGTTAAAGCACTCTATAAAAGGTTACCCTGATAGAGAAATTAAATCACAAGTAAGTGTTCAGAAACTGTTTAACTCTAATTGAATGTAGGACATCCTAGGTCAGTGCTTAAATAGGGTTCTCAACCCTATTTTTAAGTTTTAATAACAAAAAGTTAGCCTATTTTATTATTCTTAAGATATTGATTTTTACCAACCCATGAGTTCCCAATACATGCTAAATATCTAAATAATTGACATGAAAATCTAATATTCCTCTAGCATGCAAAATAGATGTACTGCTTACAGTGCATATGCAAGTAGTAAATAGTACGCAGGTCTCTGAAATGACCACATTGTTTACACTGTCTTTGTATGAATAACTAACAATTCTGAGATTAGAGTAGTATATATCCATGAGGAAAAGGTAGAACTACATACAGATTTATCAAGTTTTCAAATTAATTTCATATGAAGGGCCTATACTACTGAGCTGAAAACCAAAATCTGTCTTACCTCAGTGCAAGTCGAGAATTTGCTGGCATAACAGAGCAAAACCGTTCCAGGGTTTTAGAGTGCTGAGTCTTTGGAACACAGCTCAAATAAAAGAAAATGACCTGCGAAGGTTGAGGGAGGGAAAATGAATACAATTAAAAAGCAGACTCCAGTTACCTGTGTATTTTAATAAAAGAAAAAACGTCTTTAAGACACAATGGGCAAATGAGAACATGTGATTAACTATACTAGCCACTTTCCAAATACACAGTAGACTATGGTCTGGGGTGAGAGCCGTGGACAGAGGTCTGACAGGAAGCCAGGAGTGCGAGCTTTCCGTCCTGAGTCTACCTTTGCTTGCTGTAGACTGCCGGGCAAGCCTGACAGAGGACTAACAGTGCTTGCCACTTCTTGCTCATGGAATCCCCAAAAGACAATGACTTAATGTCCATGTAGCTGTTGGAATCCTGGGATAACGAGCGGCACAGAAGCACATCACGTATTAACAGTTATCCCGGTGAGCAGCAGAAGCATCCTACGGGGAGTGCGAGTGCACATCTAGGTCTACACTGAACTGTAGTAAGCAGGAACTTTTGGGCTACATTATATCGCCTGAAATCAGACTCTGAAAACAAAAAGAACCAACCCGTCTGCTTTACTAATTATAATCCCCTTTGTGACGTCATCATTCATCAGATTTTACTATTATGAATGTACACAGCACCATATTTTCAGTTCTGTGAGGCCCTATGGCTGCAAGAAGAGTAGGTACAATGGATATGTGGACTGCTTTTGTTGTTGTTATTGTTTTCTTTTTTCTATTTATTTACTCACTTTACATTACCAGCTGATCACAGCCCTCCCGCACCTCCAACCCCCACTTCACCTCACATAGCCCCTCCTCTGTCCCCAGGATCGGTTCATTCTTACAGGGCCTGACAAGGCACCTTTTCCTGGACTCTGACGAGTAAAGAACTGATCACAGGAAGGACAGTGAATGTTAGGAAAGTGGTCCCAGGAAAAGCTCTCAATATGAAACAGTAGCTTTGCTGTCTTTGGTAGATTTGTTATATACAAACATCTGAAAACAAACAAACAAACCAAGAACGAAAAACCTTAGATTCTTACCCGATTATGGAATTCATAGTTGGACCAGTAATCAGCACTGCTAAAAGGGATGGGGTATCGGGCAGGGACCGTAACCAAACATCTATTCACTAAGTCAGTAAAAAATTTGAATTCTTGGACTTTGTTTCTGGATCCAGCAGCTCTATTATTGGCAAAGACAAGATAACTGCCAAAAGAAAGACATTGTGCTTCAGAATAATTAAGCCAGGAACTCACGGAAAAGCTGATCACCCTTTCCCCGCCACAGGATTCTTCTAAGAATCCCATTCTTAACCAGAGCTAAACTTACTCCATCCAAATCTTCTGCACAATATCAGACCGCATGGCCACCCCTAACGCCGCCTCATATGCTTCCACTGTCTCTTTAATACTTGACTGAAGAGGATGACAAAGGCTGTTTAAAAACATGAAGGAAATAAATGCTTACAGTTTAATTTTGTTAAGTAAGAAATAATAACACACACTTTCAAGTAAAGTCTCCTTGCTCTTGTCTTTCAGTAAATATAGGCTTAGCATCTCTTTTTGAATCTGATTCAGTGACTGTTTAATACGTCATAATTCAGTAAACATCAACTGTACATGCAAGGCAAGCTTTCTTTTCTTTTTTCTTTTTTTTGTCTTGTTTTGTGTTTTTCAAGACAGGGTTTCTCCGTGTAGTCTTGGCTGTCCTGGAACTCACTCTGTAGACCAGGCTGGCCTCAAACTCAGAAATCCGCCTGCCTCTGCCTCCCAAGTACTGGGATTAAAGGCATGCGCCACCACCACCCAGCCCAAGACGAGCTTAACATGCAGCACTCTTCTCCACAGTGGATAATGTCTCACCAGTAAATCAGCCATAAATAAGGGACTTGGTTGTTAAATACATCATCATCAAAATTCCCTTTACATAAACACGCTGGAATGTCGAGTGGTCCTGGGATATTTAAGAGATACCTGAAAAAAGAAAATCCCAGCATTGTATGAAATTATGCCTAGGTACACATGGATTAAAATACAGACATGAATAATCGTGAGTTTCAACCTAATTGAAATATTTCTACAGAAGAATGAACTTTCCTAAAATCATACCTGCTCAAAATTTTACTTTTATACCAATATGAATTACCTCTCTCCAAATGAATTTTATTCCCCAAATAAAACAATTCATCTAATTGAACCTTATTAGAAATAAAAAGATCAAATGAGATTACAAAGTATCTGAAATTTCAACAAAATCTGTACATTCTTGTAGGAGCAAAGTTCTTACAAAATCTGCATGCGTACACACACACATTTAATTTAGACATAACAAATAAAATGTTGACTACAACCAGAAAAAGAGCCATTATCAAAGTAGCAAAAGGCTCTGAATGATATCACCTCTTTTCCAAAAGTGAAAACCAGAGCATCAGAGGTCCTTAGAAACCTGACTAATAAGCCTCTGACTTTCACTCCTGTAGCTTTCCTTCTCATGGATCTGAATGTCCTTATGTGTGCTAGCGGAGTCTCAGATCCCTCTAACCTTGAACTGACAATCTGGCATAATCACTTACACTGGATTTTAAAAGGACTGTATGGGGAAAAGTTGTAAATGGTTGGCCAGCTTGTGGGAAGGCAGCAAACACGGAGAACGTCTGGAGGTCGGTGGGGTTAGCATCCAACTACCACAGCGGCTCTATCACTCGGAGTTACTTCTAAAGACTTTCGAACCCTCCACTGAAGACTGAAATGAGCTCACTCTAATGTACATAAAACTGTATTATCACTACAGCAGCTTCCTCAAAGTGCATGAAAACCAAGGTAACGTTCTAAATTCATTTGAAACAAATGAAGTACTTCTTACTGCTTGTCATCTTTATACTAAATGCTATGAAGGAATTGATCAAATCCATTTCTAGGTTAAGTATTACAGTATTAAGTATTACAGCTATATATATTTTGCTTTATTTCTGCCTTACAATTGTATCTTGAATACATTGTGAGCACTGATTTCTACTAATAAACTAATCATTATATATGCATAAAATCACACACACACACACTCAGACTCTTAAGATATATATACATAAATATATCAATGAGCCAAAAATTACCTCACTTACTGGCACTCTCTTAATATTTAACTCAAAAGACATTTTGTTTTCTCCCAGTGTAGCCTGGGTTGGTCTTAAATGCACATCCTTCTACATCATTCTCTCAAGTGCTTGGATCACAGGTGTGTGCCACCATGGCTAAAGGCTTCTTAAATTAGTCCTTGTGCAGACAAGAACTTTAGTATTAGATAAATAGACTAAGTACTGGTGTCTTTTTCTAATTCTTGATGATATATGATTATTTCACAAAAGAACTTAATAAAACAAGATGTCAGTAAAAAACAGTAAGGTGATTTAGAGGCAATCTAGTTCCAAATTTTTATTGATACTGTTTTTATTCTTCTCAATTAATTAAGCTAGAATCAAGATCTAAAGACCTTTGATTAGTTACCAAGGCAAAATCTGGCATCATCCCCTTGTAAGCTAAACCAATTATCTCTGCGCCCAAGGGAAAACCAGAGCACAGGTCTGTCAAGGGCTTTGTTTGGCCTTGAATTAGTCTTTTGCCAAAGTTTGAAAACAAACCAATTTAATATTAAAGACAGAAAAAAACAAAACTGTGTGTGGAGGAAGGGATCAACTTCTATCTCCTTCTGTTTCTTGTCTGTCCATTGACATTTTGCTTGCAGCTATCTTTAAAATATTAATGTAAATATTTTAAGAATTTTTTAAAGGTACTAATTAGGACAACTGACAAAATGTAAAGGTCCAAATTTACAAACAACAACAACAAAAACTCTGAGGCAAACAGACCTCTTTTTATTTTTTTATTTTTTTGACCTGACTTACTAGGAACTGGACAGAGCTCGGGTTTTAAAACCCTGGCTGTTCTCCCAAAGGACCTGGCTTCAATTGCCAATCCCCATGGTTATAGATTTTATCAGTCTCTTTAGCAGCCCACAGCCATCGGTAATTCAAGCTCCAGAGCATCTAACGCCCCTTTCTGGCCTCCTCCAGACCTAGGCATACAACATGATACACAGGCAAAACACCTATACACACAAAATTGTTTTAAACATGTGCCTTGACATTCCATGTCTTTACTAAAAGGCAGACTAAGGAGAAAGGGAGGAGGGTGGCATCGAGGTAAAAATATCATCCGCACAGGTATTTTGACTTGCTAACACAAAACTAAGATTTTATTTTTACTTATCCATATTTTCTATAGGAATTCTATTAGGGGGCTGACGAGATGACTCAGTGGTCAAGAGTGCTTGCTGGTTGCTCTCACAGAACACTGCAGGTTAGTTCCCCGCAGCACTACCAGACTGCTCACAACTGGCTGTAACTCCCACCACCCCTTCCGGACTCCTTGAGCACTACACCCATATACACTGAGAACTTATAACTTACAAATGCATAACCAAGTGATAGAATCATAAATCATTTTCTTTTTGATGTTTTTCTCACAATCAACAAACTAAAGTTATTTTTATAAATACAAGTTTAGGGGCTGGAGAGACGGCTCAGTGGTTAAGAGCACTGACTGCATTTCCAAAGGTCCTGAGTTCAAATCCCAGCAACCACATGGTGGCTCACAACCATCTGTAATGAAATCTGATGCCCTCTTCTGGTGTGTCTGAAGATAGCTACAGTGTATTCATATATAATAAATAAATAAATCTTTAAAAAAAAATAAATACAAGTTTACTGGAACACAGCTACACCCATTCATTTATGGGTTCTTCTCCCACTACAACACCACAACTGAGTAGGACTAATAAAACATAACCTGCAAACTTAAAAGTACTTTCTGGTTCATGCAAAAAACCACTGCTGATCCCATACAGAGCAATGAGGAAGAAGGAAGGAAAGTTTAAAGTCTTCCATGAATCCACTCTTCGATGATCTGAGTGTCTTTTAATGTTATATCGGAGCTCGCGGCAAAGTTAGGACAGTAACTACAGAGCTCCTGAGAAACTGATGGGCTGAGAAAAAAATCCTTCTAAAGCTGTTTACTAACCACCTCAGAGCCTAGAGTAGGTAACTTAAAGAGAAAAGGCTTTTTGTTTTTTTGTTTTTTTGTTTTTTTTTTAAATCTATGGTTAACCAACAAGTAAAACATTTTTTTCAAGCATCAATGAGATTGTCTCAGGACATTTTGTTACTACAGGATTAAACAACACAGCAACAACTAACAAACTAAATGGAGAAGCTACCAAAAGCCTTACACTGCATGACAGAGCATGTTCTATCTTGTCTTCATTCTGTTCATCTTCAGCCCTCATATCAGCTCTGTAGGTAAGTACTCCAGTGTTAGATAAGCAGTCTGAAATGTAATCAGGCAACAAGAAAACCTATCTTCCCACTGGCCTAAATCCTTACTCATTCCTCTACAGACCAAACGTCCCACAACTCACCGAAATAAATCCACGTTACTATACTTCTCAAAGCCAGCTTTAAAGAAGGATCCAACAAATTGCCTCAAAAATGGAAGAAGCTTATCACCTCCGTTCTGTCAAAACAAAGGAGTAACACATGCCAGGCTTGTATTTGATAAAGACATTTGAAACCCTTTTTAGAAGACACGATGAGATTATTTTTCTTGGATGGAAACACATGAGTAAACCTGGACACATCCTCATTTCCTGTGATGGTTGGTTCTACAATCACCTGGGAAGGGAGTCTGTAGGAGGAGCTAAGGTGGGAGGAGTTAGGAGAGGAAGAGGAGGAGCTGGGAGAAGAAGAGAAAAAAGGAAGAGGAGGAGCTAGAGAGGGTAGAGATATAGGAGGATGGAGAACCACACAGGTATGGAGAGCACTCGTGGAGAACAACTTATAAACTTAGGATAGCTTATAAAGCAAACTTATAAAATTAGGTTAGCTAATTGGGATACAACTCTCTTTGTATGGGCATATTGTTAATGATTATTATTCATTATCAAACATATAAAGCCTTTGATTAATCTGTAAGAATTAGAGTCTCATTCTCTTACTAGGCCCGCATAGATGTCGGAATGGTCCCTCCCTTGCAGAGACAGCGTGGAAGATTAGCAGAGCCATCTCTCACGCTGGCATCTAGTGGGTGGCAGGGCTGGTGTTTATGGTTCTATCTGCAGCGCGCACGTGGCCCCAGGCTGAGAAACATGGCGGCGGGGCTAGGCAGAGCTGCTGCAGCTTAGATAGTCGGATGAACCTGAGGCCAGTTTTAAATACTTAATACAACAGGAGTCTCACATGTGGGGACAGTCTTAATTGTTATGTGACATGGAAGGCCCAGTCCGCTGTGGCTGGCACCATTCCCAAGGCTGAAGACCCTGATCTAGTTAGTGCGGACAGCAAGTGGACACTAACAAGCACACACACTCTTGAGTGTGTGCATGACTCTGGGCTCTTGAGTGTGCTTCATACTCCTGATGCTGCAATAAACGAACGCTAACCTAGAATTGTGAGTTTAAATAAACCCTTTCTTCCCCTAAGTTCTTTTTGTCGGGGTTTTTATCACAATAGAAATGAATTTGAAACACCTCTGGATTAAATTCAACTAACCATTAAACAACGTATCTAGTATTATCAAAGGCTCAAAATCACCCACCAGAAGAGGTTGTGAGCCATTGTAGATGGTTGTGAGCCAGAGTGTGGTGGCTGGGAACTGAACTCAGGACCTCTGGAAAAGCAGTCAGTACTCTTAACTGCTGAGCCGTCTCCCAGCTCCCACCAGGATCGTAACTAAGCAGCTACCACATTTGTCACTAACGTGGATACTTCGGGTGTAAACATGAATAACATAGTTTGTGCTCTGGAGGAGTTCTCAGAGACAAACCCTGTAAGCAATCCAATGGTAAACTGCAGGAGGAACAGGAAAGCCTAGCGTGACCTACACAGGGCAGAAGGACCAAGAAGGCTATGCTATCAGGAGAAGTCACTGCTGAAAGAATACAGAATACAGAAACACCATATTTAAGAAACAGGAGGTTTTTGGGTTTTTTGGTTTTTTTTTTTTACCTGCACGATGAAAAATTTGCACAGATGATAAAAAATTTCCGCATTCTGAGGGTTATTTTCAAACGCAGTAAGCCAAACCAATTGGGCTTTGTCATTTCGATCTGTTTTCAAATACAAAGCTGCAAGGGTTTCCAATAACTGGCAGTTTGTGGGACAGGACTCCAACAAGGTTGTGCAAAGCTCCACTGCCTCCTCATACCTTAAGAAGAAGAAGACGGCTAAGACACGGTGAGGACTAACTGTAACAGAGCTGTTTGTTCGTTAAGCTTTACCTCTCTAGGAGCTGGTGCAGAACAATCATGTTTGTGTAAAGCGGAAGGCAGACCTCTATTCTTTCTCCACTGGTAAGGGTCTCATCTGTACAAGCTTTTACCGCATCTACCACAAAACACACAACCAATCACTTCACTGTTACACTGAAAAGGCAACATAAACCCCATTTGTCTCCACTTAAGGACCAAGCCTGATTTCAAAAAAGGCCATAAGGTAGCAAACTAGGTCATGAGACACCAGCTCCAGGAACAGACCATAAAATCCAGAACAAGATCATAAAACGCCCTATCAAAAAACTGCCTGGGGATAACCACAAAAATGGGGAAATTATCTCAGAATGGGCCATCTGTGCTGGGCAGCCCTATTTCATCACATGGCTAAACACTCATGATGTAGGAATTCAGACCACTGATTACCTGTGACCCCTAGCACCCAATAATGAAGTTTTAGATTACCTAATCCTTCTAGAGAGTTCCCCCAGTTCCCTATAAGAAGGCCTGCATGCCTTTGTCTGGGGTCACCATTTTAGAGAATGGTTGAGCCCCGCATGCTGGTTGCTTCTGCTTATCTGAGTCTGGGGTCCTCCTTCAGCGAAGCTCAGTCCCTTACATTACCAACTCCAAGACACCCTTACTAGCCCATCATCCTTTTCGTCTTTTCTTAACCCTGACATTTACCCAAATGGGGTGCTTCAGGTATCCGCACGCTCCTACACCTTAAAGGATCTTAAAGCCTACCGTCATTCCATTAATCAGGCATATTCTTTCCATTGCCTAACAGGATTTTTATAAGGACTCTCCCTCAAATTCTTCTTTGAATTCACTATACAAACTCTCCTTAGGTTGTTTTTAAATTTCCCTAGTTCCTCTAACAGGAATGACCTTTCTTCCCTTTCCTCACTGGGATATTCAAGGATTTACTAAGCACTCAGTAAATTATAGACATTCATGCACAGCCCTTTGGAAACATGGAGAAACACACACAGGTCTCTATCCTTGAGAGAGTCTCCTTGGACACAATGCAGTTCTGCTTCAAAGCTCAGCTCTGACCGATTGACCCTCAGACACCTTCCTCGAACGTGAAAACTGACAGTAACCTCCCCCTCTTGAGTTTAGGATCTGTACAAAATAATTCTACAAATGCCAGATTCTTATTTCTGTAGCATACAACTTACATTACATACTAATACACTGTATATATGGTCTTTTATACTTCATGACTATGCCAAATGCATAGACCTTCCAACAGGATTATATACTTATTTTAGAGAGAAAGAGGTTTTAAACTCAATTACATGTTCAATGGCAGATATATGTTTAGCATATAATAGTCAAAAAATTAACTTTGAAGAAAATATTAACTACATGAAAAAGATCATAACACACCCTTAAAAGACTGCCAGAATAAAATAAACAAGCCAACTTAGCTCTATGATTCAATCAACTCCTTCCCCTAACCTACTATACTATCAGTAACTGTGTACATTCAGATGCACGTGCATTTAATAACAATACGTTAATCTTGTATCCTTTGTTATAATTAAAAAAAAAAAAAGCCACAAAGCAGCTTTTCAGCTTCATAGATGCAATGACCATCTTAGGTAATAATACTGAAAATACTTAGATAATAAAGTGCAATTACAACTGAAGTTATCCCATTTTATAAAGAATCACAATAAAAAATGAACTGACGTTCTGAACACTGGTTTAGGAATTTCTAATGCTTGCTACTATAGTTTATAAACATCGCTTACCTTCAAACACTGCCAGTAGTAAGTCAGGGTTGGTCCTGACATCTTGAGCTGCTTGCCATGGCATTACAAACGGCTCTGTGTTGACAATTCTTGAAGGATTAGCATTAGATGGGTCATAGAGTTGCGAAGGGAGACTATTGAACTCAATCAGATGTATGTAGGCCAGCCATGCCAGACAGCGGTCATCTGTCTTAAGGTACTCAGCTACTATTACATCATTAGCCAATTTTAATGCATTCTAGACAAAATGGAAACATTGGGAAATGTTTTTAAAGAGTCATTCCCATCGACAATAAGATTCAAATCTAAAGAATGAAACTGATATATTCTAAATTATTCTTAAATACTTAAGTGAAAACATTTTTTTTCAAGACACAGTTTCTCTGTATAGTCTTGGCTGCCCTAAAACTCAGAGATTCACCTGCCTCTGCCTCCTGATTGCTGGGATTAGTGTTGGGATCAAAGGCATGTACCATCACCAACTGGCTGATACGTGAAAATTCCTATAGTCACCAAACTTTTTAATGACAAATACTAAGATGAGCACAGATTTTACTATCTTAAAGTTTATGATATAATAATGAATGAGATAAAAAGTATGAAGATCCCTTACACTTAAAATCTGGTTAAGTTGCCGGGCGGTGGTGGCGCACGCCTTTAATCCCAGCACTTGGAAGGCAGAGGCAGGTGGATTTCTGAGTTTGAGGCTAGCCTGGTCTAGGGCTACACAGAGAAACCCTGTCTCGAAAAAAACCAAAAAAAAAAAAAAAAAAAAATATGATAATTTAAAGACAAAAGAAAGGAAGGAAAGAAGGAAGGAAGGAAGGAAGGAAGGAAGGAAGGAAGGAAGGAAGGAAGGAAGGAAGGAAGGAAGGAAGGAAAGAAGGAAGGCAAGCTCCCAGCCTCAAGCCCACATCAATACAGATGGCTTTCTTTATGGACTGATGCCTTTAGATCCTGCGTTAAGGCTTAGCTGGAAAGTGACTAACACAATCTTTCCAAGGAAATGCTATAAAAACTCATAGCAACAAAAATAAGATGTCACCACAACTTACTTGTAAGTGACGAGTTCAAATCCAAAGCCTCACTATTCGACAGTGCTACTCATGTCTAAGACCTGTATACACACTCTACAAGATGAGATTAGACACTATAATAAATGTTTACCTGTAAAATTGCAAGTGCACTTTGGCATCTCCCAGTGAATATATGTAGCTGAACTCTAAACAAAAGAGCCTCTAGAAGCTGAAAGGACAGACTATCAGATACTTCCCGCTTGGCTGCTCCCGTCAGAAACTCCACCATCCTCTCACAAACGTAATCCTTCTCTTCAAAGGTGCTTTCTAGGTGCAAAAACTGATGGAAACAGTTTCACAACATTAATCTTGCTTTATTGGAAAAAAACTACAAACTGTCATTCAATTAAGACACTGTCTCAGTAGATGTACAATTTATGAAAAGAATAGCTATTAAAATATATAAACCTACTTTCCAGTATAATATTCAGATCTGCCTTCTGTCACAGATTAGTATAAAATCAGATGAACTAAAATAAAATGTATTCTCTAAATCATCACTGAGCGCAATTGCACTTCATTTCTGAATCAATACATGGTGAACAAGACCATGACAGATATGCAAAGCTTACGTTTATGATCATACACAACCTGTGTTGATTGGGAATGCAACTCTTTAAAGAAATTAAAGAACTCTTTAATTTTTAAAGAGTTAACTCTTTAACTCTTTAAGAATTAAAGAATGGTATCTGTGGGCTGGAGAGAGAGCTCAGCAGTTACAAGTCCTGGGCTGAATTCCCACCACCCACACAGCAGCTCGCAACAGCCTGAGATCCAGCCTCAGAGGTTACCATAGTCTCTGGCATCCAAGGGCACCAGGCACACAAGTAGTGCACAGACACACTCGGGCAAAACCCCCATACATGAAATAAAAAAATCAAAGAGCATATGTATTAGAAATGTATGACACCCTAAAGAAAAACCAATTTAAGGAAAACTGTTACAACTTTTGAGTCTTCCTTTCTCTGGGAAAGCGTGTAATCATCTACAGCATCGCCTCTAGACACTGCTGGATTTGGAGCACCTGTGCTAGCCAAGGCTTTTCAGTACCTCAGCTCAAAAAAGACACATTGTAAGTAATCAATTCATTTACTAAGAGATTATGTGTTATCCTAATGTCTGAGTTTCCAAAAGTAAGAAAATGACAAATCTAAGACATGCTGGCACCGTAAAGCTGGGGAAAATCATAATAAATTCTCTACATGCTAATAAACTATATAATCTACTAAGCTATCTACCAACAATTAAGATGCCCTAAGGAATTATGACCATAGCATACATCAACCACATGGCTGATATCTTTTCTACTTACAGTCCAAAAGCTCTGATAGTCAGGGGCATATTCAACAGCCGTTTCACACATTTCCTGCACCTCCTCCTTGGTCCCTCTTTTTGAGAACAATCTGAGGTAATGGCACCAAATTTCTGGATTGTCTTTATTGTTTTCCAGAGCTCGAGCCAGTACATTTAAAGCAGAATCCAAAGATTCTGAACACAGTCTGTATGTGTAAAAGAAAGGGCAAAGTGTTCAGTGTAAGTTGCTGCGGACAGAGCAGCTTGGTAACAGCACACGCTTAGCAGGCGCACGGCACCAGGTTCAATCACAGCAGTGTAAACTACTGAAACACTTAACATCTAAGCAGGGCTAATCAAATGAACCAACTAAGAATCTACTCTCTACTAGAATCTACTAGAAGCCAAGATCACCATGATACAAAGTAATAAAGGGATTTCAAATCATGTCTGTCAAAGCCCAAAGGTCCTGATCTCCTGTAGACTAAATAATTTCTTTTTAAGTAGATATTCTGTAAGCATTTACCACAGATAGAAACATAGTATAATAAAAGCACTTGAATTATCTACTTCAAATGTGTTCTACGTCCACACTCAGCAATACCTTTTATGATTTATACTGTTTGAAAACAGGAAAGTTAAACAACTCTCTCTCAAGGCCAGCTACTGCCAGCATAAAATATCAAAGCTTTCAATATAATAGTTCTTTTCAGCTCCAGGGCTTGCTATCTCTTACAGAAGATAATTCTTTCATGAGCCTACTCATAGAGTAATGTACATTTCTTTGTCCTTTACTCAATGAGTCAGACAACAAAGTGCTGTAACTTACCCCATTCTCATGGAAATGACACACAGACAAGTTAAATAAGACCCTTTTCAGGTATGTGTGGTTTATCAGCACTCTGCTGCCGCTGCCTATTTAATAGGCTTTATACTAAGTTTTAAGATAGGTCTTTCCCAGTAGACTACTTTTTAATAAAAGAAACTATTATACTTTAAAATTACATTGTAAAGATTATTCCTGGCTTGCTCTCTAGTATTAAAAAGCAGAAGTTAAGCATATGAATTTGTAACAGAAACCACTAGCTGTGAAATATACTACTTAACATGAACATAACCACACATGGAAAAAAGACCAATTCCATCAGAATTTAAAAGAGGCTAAATAAACTTAAGTCTTCATTGCAGATTAACCTAAAATCTAACCTGTCCCATTCTCATAATTTTACTAACAAATTTTCACCTCCTTTTTGGTTTCTAAGACAGGGTCTCACTATGTAGCCTTGGGTGGCCTAGCTCTCACTATACAGACCAGGCTGGCCTCAAACTCAGAGAAATCCCACTGCTGGGATTAAAGATGTAACCCACGTGCAGCACACTTCAACATAATGTATCACCTGTTATCCACTGAGCCACGAACACAAAATGAAGCTCTACTCTTAAAGCTTTTCTGCTAAGTTTAGAACAATAATAAAATACTTTTGGCTTTGTCAAAAAGCAAACTAAGGACACAAAACCAGGTATGAGAAAATCTACCTCTAATTTCAGTCCTTGGGAAGTAAAAGGAGGAGGACCATTCAAGGCCATCCTCAACTACACAGCAGGTTCCAGCCCAATCAGCATTACATGAGACCCTGCTTCAAAGAAAATAAAGTACTAAAGCAGGGGTGGGGGCTCACACATGCAATGTCAGCACCGAGGAGTCTGAACCATGAGTGCGTGGGCCACCGAGTGAGTTTCAGGCTAGCCTCTGTTACAGTGAGACCCTGTCTCAAAAGCAATTGATAATAAGGAAACCTGATGAGCATCACTAAGTAAAGACTAAAGATCAATATTTCGGAACAACTGAAGCTCACCTACCCCTCATTCTGATTCAAGTACTTGTATGCGAGCTTGAGCCAAAGCTGTACATGGGACGGATTTTCGAGTACACTTGCTTCTAAGTTAGCAATGTCATCAGTTTCACTGGTAAAATACCTCACATCATCCGGAGTGACAACAGTGTCCAAAGCTGGGACGTTTATTTGGTTCTCTGGTCGGAAGGCTGTAAGAACAAACAGCAATAGTTTTATATCTTCAACCACTCAAGGAAAAAAACTTGGTTCTCATCTGTAAAGAGTCTAGTAACAGGTAATTTTCAGCTCTAAAGCGGAAGTGTCACATAATTACTCATCTAAACCTAGACACTTCTAGAAGAAAAAAGTATTTCAAGCATCAGAAAAATAAGAATATAAAGGACTCTAGAAGTATAGTAGAAGTAAACCATGCTAAGTATGTTGATTAAATTTAAGTGACAACACTGAACTAAACCAGAAGTTCAAATGCGGCCATGATGGCACACACCTACAAACTTAGCACTCCAGAAGTAGAGGCAGGAGCATCAGAATTCAAGGCCAGCCTCAGCTACAGGAGACTTTGTCCTGTGAGGGGAGGAGAAGGGGAGGAAAACCATTTATAAAGTTAAAATCTACAAAATATTTCTTCTACATCTCAACTACAGAACTGTTACACAAATATAAATAAACATATGAGTGTACCTGGACATCATTATTAATCCACAAATTATGAAAACTAGGAATAAGAAAGATGTACTCAACAAATACACACACACACACACACACTTACTGCATGTCAGAAAAGACTCCAAAATAAAGCAAAATATAATAATATATTATTATTATTATCACTATAATAAAGACCATGTGCTCTCAAGGACACAGGCAAAGCGATGATCTTCACCTGAGGCTGTATTCACCCCATTAAAGCAGGCCTGCAAATACATGAGGCTGCATCACATTTATTAAAGAGTGTTCCTCCCATTTACTGGGCAAAGAGCAGGAATGAAAACATCCTGCAATGTCAGGATCAATGAATACCTATTACTGAAAACATGACAGGCACCACATTTAAGACAGTCAAAAATACCAATGATACAAGTTTAGGAAAAGCCGTTTATAAAGTAGGCTAAGACTGTGAGGGTTCTGATGAAGAGACCAGCACTGAGGCAGCCTCCATCTCCTGCGTCGTGACTTACCATACTTGATGGGGCCTGTGGACTGCCCCTCATCGCTGCTGCTGCTGCTCTCGGACACGGCTTTCCTACAGAACCTTGGCCTCCATTTTCTTTTATCTTTGTAAGTTGTAAATGGAGGTGCTAACAGAGAGAAGATTGTTAATTTATGTAAGTAGTGTTTTTATTGTTTTAAAGAGTTTTAAAAAAGCTACGGTTACTTGGCCAAGATAGTAAAAGACAACATTCACTTTAAGAACATGTCAGACAGTCTGCAATCACACAGACACAGACACACACACACACACACACATATACACACAGACACACACACACATATATATACACACACACAGACACACACACACACATATACTTACTATGGCCTTTACTCTCATTAACGTTGCTAACGAGGAGAACAGCCATCTGGTCCATTGACATTCGGTCTTTGTTTACTCCAAAAAGTTTTTCAACATACTTTTCTGAAAATAAAACAAGGATACTATATTCATTATAAAAATGTGGCTGCAGTAACTGTGCTAGTTAAAGACTACAAAGCAAAGAATAACCTAAGACTTGAACTATGAGCCGGGCGGTGGTGGTGCACGCCTTTAATCCCAGCACTTGGGAGGCAGAGGCAGGCGGATTTCTGAGTTCCAGGCCAGCCTGGTCTACAGAGTGAGTTCCAGGACAGCCAGGACTATACAGAGAAACCCTGTCTCGAAAAAAACAAAACAAAACAAAAAGACTTAAACTATGTATGGCACTAGTCAGTAATGTCTATGACCTATAAAAATGGAAAACCTAAGGTTAGGTCAATGATTCTGACAAGTCCTTCCCACCATACCACCATAAAACTGGGGCTGGCAGTTCAGGGAACTCAAATGAACACATTATTAGGTAAAAGTACAAGTCCAAATGAGGAATGACAAAGTGACTTCAGTGACTTTACAATCACTCTGGATAGTGATTTAAAAAAAAAAAATAGTAAAGATTAATTCCTTTAATCCAAAAGACATTATTTGGCACTCTGTGGGGAAATTCAACAGTACCAGTGCACAAGTATTTGCTAGAAATCCACGATTTCTACAGCAAATTTTATAGAGTATTTTTTACTTCACTACAGGATTTAGAGGCTAAACCCATGTTAATTTTTAGTCCTAAGCTTTTGAAAACAACAAAGGAAAACAAGAGGCTATGCTAGAATCAACAGTAAAGTGTCCCACAAATGTTTCTCTTCTAAGCTGAACCATGTAGATGACTAAAACCTTTCTGTAACAGTAACGAGGTGCTAAATCTCTGCTGTCACAGCTACTGGCTAGCACTTACCACTGACAACCAAGTACTTGAAGTGTGAGTAGTCAGTGAAGTGTGCCTTCATTCAAACTCCCCTCTAAAGGCCAGTGTGTGGTTAGTGATACTGTGTTCAACAGGGCAGATCTAGGAAGTGTCATAGTGAATGTACGGCATTATTAGCTGTTTCAAATACCACAAGCTGGGCACGATCTTTTTAAATTCCCTACGTTCAATGAGAACTCTTTACAGACCTGTTGCAGAAGCAATTTCCTCATCAGTGCTTGTCTCTGAACAGCCAATCAAAGATAGATTGTATGACAGAATGTCCTGGAACAACTGCTTCCGGCTAAGTGTATAGTCTTGTACATGCTGCCTAAAATAAAACAAGAGCACAGAAGACAACCGTGTACTTATCAAAACAAAAGGAAACAGGACTTTCTCTAGAGAATTCTTCCAAATAAAAACTACTCACCACTGACAATCGTCATCATTACATGTTCCTGTTAAATCAAAACGGCAGAAACACTGATCCGGCTCAATCCTGTTACTGTATGACACTGAGCTCAGGGGAAGCTTTTCCTTGGTTCGATAGTAAGGACTAAATCTAGAAAAAGAGCGGAAGGACATGTTAGACAGACAGAAAACGAGACATCTTCTTAATTTTTTCTTTCTCCGTTAAAAGTTCTATACCTGCTTACTAATCAAATCAACACTACAAGTAACTAAAATAGCTACAAACAATAGAAGGAGCGACTTTTATAACAGGGACATGAGAGGTGTCATGTTGAAAACTGAGTGAGGTGGTGCACAACTGTTTCTCAGCGTTTGGGAGGCTGAGTTCGAAGAAAGCTGAGCTGACACAGGAGGGCTCCATCTCATTTAAAAAAAAAAAAAAGTGAGACTTGGAAGTATTGAGAGGTAGAAGACCTGCCTAGCATGTATGAGGCCCTAAGTTCAATTCCAAGTACAAATTAACAACAAGAACTTTATTTAAAACTATTTATAATGCAGAAAAATATGTAAGTAATGCTGTATTCTAACATCCTTTTCCCCCACCACACAATAAAACGTTCTTTACTGGTATTTCTTGTATACATTACGCAGCCAGCATATGCTACCTAGTAAGTGCTTTGTAACTTTATCATAAAATCATACCCATTTAGCAGTCCACAGTCACCTAAGAATGTCAACATTACAGAGGCTGGCCAATGACAAATGAAGAATCCTCAAATTAAAAATCATCACTGTCCAAGAATGGCAGCACACTCCTATAATACTAGTACCTGGGAGGCAGAGGGTTGAGGATTACTTTAAGTTTAAGGCTAAAAAATAGCAAGTTCCAATTCAGCCAAAGTTTAGTAGAGAGAGTCTATCTTTTAAAAAAAAAAAAAAAAAACTTATAAATTGGGAGCTGGAGAGATGTCTCAGAGGTTAAGAGCACTGACTGCTCTTCCAGGGGTCTTGAATTCAATTCCCAGCAACCATGGTGGCTCACAACCATCTGTAATGGGATCTGATGCCCTCTTCTGGTGTGTCTGAAAACAGCAACAATGTACTCATACATAAAATAAAATGTGCTATTTGTTTAAAAAAATACTTATAAATCAATGAATAAAAACCTAGAATTTGAACCTAAAGAACATGCTATAAAACTCCATTTCTGATATGATTTGAGAACAATAGCAATACATACTTTTGCCTTCCATAAAAAGGTTTGTTTTCCAGTGACCATAATTCAAATGCTTTTATTAAGACAGATTTAAGGTAAAGCACTAGGAATCAGGATAACTCTGACACTATGAACGACCTCTTCTCTACCTGTAGGATTTAAAGACGAGAAGAGGGCTCTGGTAAGGTCTAAATGGACATGGCTTCACTTCTGTTGTCTTACTCTGTGCTGTAACAAAATCCACATCCACAGAAATCTCCTGCAAAACAAAGACAGCCGAAATGACAGTGATTCCGAAGACAAGTGAACCATTAAGTAAACTCTACATGCCATAGGAAATAAGAAACGCCACTTACCTGACCATGCAGAACTTGTTCTGTAATGCCTGTGGTAGTTTTTAAAATCAACTGTTTTAAACTGTCGGCTTTTGAATATAATTTTTGTAATTCACCTATTTTTAACCCTAGAAAAAGTTCTGGCTTTTCTACAGTACTCTTACTAAGTTTGTTTATACACTCCTTGTTAGGTGTGTCAGTGTGCTTAAGGTTGGGTTTAGTGAAAGAATTGGACTCTAGGAAGGATCTTCTTCGTTCTCTGTTCGAACCTGACAAAACTTCATCATCAACATCATTTTCTTCTGTGTCCAAGGTTAATTTATCCTGTGTCAGATCATGAAGTGAGGGTTGAGGTAAAGAAAACTCAGGTTCCTCTTCCACAACGGGAACAAGGTTTTGCTGTTCCTTTGCTTTGAGGGCTCGGGCTTCTTTTAACTTTTGAATTTTCAAGGCATACTCATATTCTAGCTTTTGTAATCGTCTTTTTTCCATAGCAATTAATTCAGCTGAATGCTTCCTTGGACTTGATAGTGGAGAATTATCCAATCTCATCATTTTGTTTGGCTGTGGGAGAAAAGTAACTATTTTATATCACTTTATGCAATCATACACGATTGATCATAAGATAATGGTGGTTTCACTAGAATATAATACCAAGGCCACAAAACCAAACTGACAAGGAGAGCGAAACAATTTAACAAATCAACACACTGCTGCAAGTTAATCTGTGACCAACAAAAACTAAAACCAATGCAAAATAAATTTTAAAAGCATCCAAAATATAAGTATGACTTAAAAACAAACTCTAGATTGTATAGATTGAATAATAATATAATCTGTTCTCTTTGAAGTTGCAGCAAAGTTGGAATTACTTTATACATCTCATAGCTTAGAAGTACCGTTAAAAAAAAACAAAAACAAAAACAAAAAGCCCTGCTTTCCCCAAGTCTCCTCCAGGCGACTTACTCCGCGGCGGTCTTGCTCCAGTTTGCGTTTCCCCAGCTCTTTACTAGCCACGGCCTTGGCCCGAGCGAGCTCCTCCCCATACTTGAGCGTCAAAGCTTTCTTAATGGTAACACGCTGCTGAACTCTGTGAATCTGAAAATAGAAAGCACAAATGAGCCGGGCGGTGGTGGCGCACGCCTTTAATCCCAGCACTTGGGAGGCAGAGGCAGGCGGATTTCTGAGTTCGAGGCCAGCCTCTTCTACAGAGTGAGTTCCAGGACAGCCCGGACTATAAAGAGAAACCCTGTCTCGAAAAACCAAAAAAAAAAAAAAAAAAAAAAAAAAAGAAAGCACAAATGAAAATCTTTTGAAATATCCTCTCGAACACAACAGCTTTAGAGGTATTCAACTCAATGTAAAAATATCCTAATAGTATGTCTCAATAAAAGACCACAGGTTACATGTATGCTGACGGCTTAGGTTCAATTTTTCCCCCTTTGCTTTAGAGGAAAACCCAAAACAAAACTAAACATCCAAACTGCCTGTGTGAATGTACAGTACGGGGCTGGAGAGACAGCACCACAGTTTACAGCTTTCCCAGAGGGCTGGAACTCAGTTCCCAGCACCCAGTCCAGCAGCTCCCAAACTCCTTGACTCCAGCTCCAGGGAACACAGCGCCTGGCTTACGTCAGGGAGCACCAGCACACATTACGGCAACCTCCACACACATATACAAAGGAATAAAAAACACTTAAAAATACAGTAAACATCAGACTACAACATTTAATGGTTTAGAAAGGAGCATTACTTGTTCTTGGAGCTTCTTGAGAAACACCCTGTTAACACTGAGGATCTTCTCTGCTGCCTGAAGCTGTTCTGTAAGTTTTGTGATCTTTGCTTCAGCATTTCGAACAGACTCCTTCTTCTTGGCTTCTTGCAGTACGAGATTCTTTAAAACTGATTCATCTTTAATCAAGAGAATTCTGAGTGGTAAATAACAAAATTCTTATTGTTTTCTAGAACTGGCAGGCTAACACCATCAAAATAGAAAAATTTCAAATTAATAACATAATAATGTATTTTAAGAATTTTAATCTTACATGCATGTAATTTGAAAGAGACAACTCTGGTCATAAACTGAAGACAAATCCTACATGTTATAAAATATAGTTTAGCACAAGATAAATATCCAAAACCTAAACACTTCCAAATATATCGTGCTCAGAATACTTAATGTCTAAGATTTTGTTCAGAAGGAAAACAGAGCACGAGTCTGTAATGGAAGACCTTGCACCATCGTGCAGTGCTCCTGGTGCTTTTGTTTTAAAATCACAATTACATTCATTTTCATGATTCACAAAAAGAGGACCAAGGGTCTGAAATGTTAGAAATGAGGTTATGAACACGTATTCCTTTTTCTTAAGGACTTCCAGATGAATATTTAAAAGCCTTTAAAAAGCCATTATGCTATTTAAACATAAACAATTCTAAGAGTTAATTTAGGAGCACAGACAGCATGAACATTTTTCATTATACCGAATAGTAACTATTTCCAACAATCAAGTTCACTTTTAATAATAGAAGAAAACTGGGTAGTAGCACATATCTCTTATTCCAACACTCAGGAAGCAGAGGCATGAAGACTGCTACAAATTTGAACCCAGCCTTGTCCATACCAAGTTTCAGCCCAACTAGGGCTACACACACCTCAAAAATAAACACACACACACACATCTCTCAATATAAGGTATAGGGATGTGCTTTCTCTAAAAGATTAAAAATATGCTTTACAATAAAGACGTTTTTAAAAAGGTCATCTAAAAAATTGAAGATGTTTTAAATATACTCAAAAGTTCTTAAGGTTATAAAATGAGGAAATTCACAAATGATTTTAGCAATGACTAAAGTTGTCTCAGTCTGACAATCTTCCTTACAGGTTTTGGTATCTCCAATTAAAATATTAATTAAATTACATTACATAATGAGTCAATAAAATAAGTAACTCCTCTAGTTCTGCCGTGTGGAAGAATCAGTGATCAGGGGTTATCCAGCACCTCCCCCCCGCCCCCACCCAGCCCCCCCCAGCCCCACCCCGCACCCCACCCCCCGTCTTCACACCTAACTCATCCCTATGTGGAGAATTGAAGACTCTAGGGAGGATGGGGTATAGCATGTTTGCCACTGGTCCGGGTGAGGAGCCAGTGGAGAAAACAATTGTAACCCTATAGCAGTTACTAATGACATATACCAACATCAATACAGATACAGACCTTCAACCCAGGCACATAAAGAGATATCGCACATTTAATCAGACACGGAATGATACTCACTTGTGTTTTTTAAGCTTTGCTTCTGCATCTGCAACCTGTTTAGTAACCATTGCTATTCTCCCAATCCCATCCATTTCCACATCTGAGTTTGCTGGGGATGACGAACTTGTCTTCAGCTGATCTGATTTAATCAAACGTTGTTTCTCACGGCTAAATTGAGAGAGGAAATAGACCAAAAAGCATTTTCTTTAAAATATACTTTTATAAAATACATGTTAATGACACTGACTATATAAGCAGTACCTAGACTCAGGTTGACATTTGCATTCAGAGCTAAGGGTGCAGTCCTTCTGTGTGTCTCCTAAGCTAGTTATATCTCAGTGTCTCATTGTATTTAGGCTGACAGATGACTGACTCCCCATGTAACATTGACTCCACAACTAGGATAAATTCAGGGTCCTGGTTTATACAGAGAAAGAACCTTTAGCAAACACTACCCTTCGGTGACATACAGAGACTCTCACTTACTTGGCAATCTCTTCCTTTAACAATCTATATTCAATCTTCTTTTCTTCAGGCAAAGCTTCAGGTGTTCGCAGAGGGTCATTTTCTTTTTCAGATTTTGGAGGTACTTTGGGTTTTGAAGCTTGCTATAAGGAAAATTTTAAAAAGCAGCATTTGAAGAGTCAACCAGAGCAACAGCTTTCAAAAATTCTACTCTGATATTTCTATTTTATGTTATACCACCGTATATACTAAGATAGTGAATATCTTAGCACTATCCTCACTCTTCTTTTGAAAAACTACTAACAGGCTACTTGTCAACTACCCAATTACATAATCTACCTAGTCAAAAGCTAGTCCTTAAAAATACTGAGCTGAATTATACGGGAGCTGAAATAAACCCGGAAAGGGCTTAAACACGATTGATTTTTTTAGTTGGAAACTGGTGTTTCAGTTAATGTAATACAACACTGAACAACACTGAGTTTCCCTTTACACTCATCTTTCGACATTAAATATAGCACATACCTCCGCAGTTCGTCTTGCTTCTTTGATCATGGACTCTAATCCACCAAAAACACTGTTGGTTGACTTGGAAGCTTCTCCATCAGACTCACTATCGTCTGAATCATTCAGGGTTACAACCACTGATTTATGTTTTGGAAGCTACAAAAGCAATGTATTTGTTAATCACGGTAATAAATGCATTTCTTTTTTTCATTTTTTTTTTTTAATTGTGTCTGGGGGCTGAAGAGATGGCTCAGTGGTTAAGAGCACTCACTGTCTCTTCTTCCAGAGGTCCTGAGTTCAATCCCTGGCAACCACATGGTGGCTCACAACAATCTATAATGGGTTCTGATGCTTTCTTCTGGTATGCAGGCATACATACAGATAGAGCAATCATACATAAAATAAATAAATCTTCAAAAAAAATCTGTATCTGTCTATGTGTCTGCCACATGTGTATGTAGCAAGTGGCCTTGGAGGCCAGAAGAGGGTATTAAATTGCCTGAAGTTGGAATAAGAGCTGGTTAGAGCAGTGTTAACATAGGTACTACAAACCAAACTCCTTACAGAAATAGCAAATGGTCTTAACCACTGAGCCATCTCTGCAGCCCTCCAGGAAAAGCATTTCAATTCTTTTCATCATTCTTGGAAAATTAAGTATACAGCTTCATACAATCTTTTAGACTCTTTGTATATCAACACACACACACACACACACACACACACACACACACACACACACACACA